TTTATCACATAAGATACTATGGCTTACAGTGTCAAAGGCTTCATGTAGGTCTAATAAAATCATACCTGTATATAAACCTTTGAGGCTTAATATGATCAATAAGATGGATAAAACACGAGTCTATGACCTGCTTAGACTACACAAAGCGGCTGCACATTGAAGGGCTTGAATGTCAATACCATTAGACCATGGATATAATTGTAAATAGATCGGACAAGACGCTACTTAACAAGCCATACTCAGCGTAGTACCAAATCATTACACGATACCACATTCCTTCTCCACCATTACCGTAATTACACGATACCACATTCCTTCTCCACAATTACCATACTTACAGCTTCCTGTTAAATAATTAACCTATAAGTGTTTATAAGGACACATATGTCATGCATACGTAATATAAAAACGTACATTATACAGTTGGATGAAGAACAAGGTCTGCTACCTATATAGTACAGTATGATTTCATTTAATTGTAATACTGTTCTTTGAATAAGACACTGGTTAGGAATGTGTTTTTTCTGGTAACATATGACAAATAGTTGCTGAGTTTACTTACGATTTTACCATTTTTATACGATACTGATAATTATTCTTTTAAAACACATCGTGTAGACATAGGGTAATAACTGTATTTAGTGTACAGTATGCAGGGCAGGCCAGGAAGTCTTACCCTTGTGCAGCATATTATATCGTCCGGATTAAGATGATTTCTGTATAGCAAGGCTATGGAACTTCACGCAAAAGTGAAAATGTATTTTGAAAGCTATGCAATTTTTGTTTTGTTTAAGAACATTAGAAAATGTCCCCAGGTAATTTCTCAATTCTTGTATAAATATTTTATGCGGAGGTTCAGTGTGCATTTCTAAAAAAAATCTTCAATACGTTCAGATACTGTAAAACCCTAAGTCTTGTGATAATCCTTAGAAATACAGTGTAAGGAAACACCTATATATAAGGGGGAAACACCACTTTATTACCGCAGAACAATCAAGTTATTGGAACTGCTCATTTGACTCTTTGATCCATTTAATACTCATCAGTGGTTCTAAGATAATTAAGAATGTAAATTCATGTCAAAAATGATCCGGACCATAATATGAAGTGTACGAAAAAGGTGCCTATTAAACTCTTAGTAGTTTACAAAACCACTTCTGGCTTCACGAGATAATTCATTCCAAAACGAAAATTTCATTTTAATTGTGCCAGGATGTTCTTGGAATTTAATCTTGGTAAATTCAAATAATATTTGGTAAATGCAGTTTAACTAACAACTTTGTTTCTAATATCAACCACAAAAAACCCCATTGTAGCATGCTTGTTCAGATTTACAACTTTATACAACTTTTAATAAATAACTACAGTTACACTGAACAGGTCAAATGTCAAATAACCAAATATTTAGTATACCTTTCAAAATCAAGAAATGTTTTTTTCTCTACAAATACTAAAACCACAAATTAAGTAAGCATCTACGGCAAAATATGATCAAATAAAACAGTTCCAAAAAATATGCTCCAATTTAATTGACAGCAAAATGTTTGTGTCAACTTTTGTCTTCCTTGGAAATGAACGAAGGTTCCTTCAGCTAAGTTAAAGGTATTTCAAATGTTCTGAAAAAGGAAAGGATCAAAGATAGTTTGATTTGTTCGAAATCCACATTCCATTTAGTCCACTTCTGACATAATGCTATTTTAATCCTGTTTTCATTGAACTTAGTAGTAATAACATTGGATAACGGTTAGTATGAACAACTAGCAGAGCTAACGATAAAATATGGTTTATAACGGTTAGTTAGTATGAACAACTAGCAGAGCCAGCGATAAAACATGGTTTATAACGGTTAGTATGAACAACTAGCAGAGCCAGCGATAAAACATAGTTGATAACGGTTTGTATGAACAACTAGCAGAGCCAGCGATAAAACATAGTTGATAACGGTTAGTATGAACAACTAGCAGAGCCAGTGATAAAACATGGTTTATAACGGTTAGTATGAACAACCAGCAGAGCCAGCGATAAAACATGGTTTATAACGGTTAATATGAACAACTAGCAGAGCCAGCGATAAAACATAGTTGATAACGGTTAGTATGAACAACTAGCAGAGCCAGCGATAAAACATAGTTGATAACGGTTTGTATGAACAACTAGCAGAGCCAGCGATAAAACATGGTTTATAACGGTTAGTATGAACAACTAGCAGAGCCAGCGATAAAACATAGTTTATAAGATTACATGTGAAGGTTCGGAGTTCAGTGAGAACGAGTCAGATCTATGTTCCTATAGCTAACCGGTACTCGGAAAGATTGCATAACAGAAGCTTGATGACACGAAGTCTGTCGCCCTAAGATAGGTATTTTCGAATAAGAAACCATGTATCAAGTTGCCGACACAATACTGTACTTACCGTGCAGATTGCTGAGTGTGGTTCGGACGGTCAAGTAATGCAGACTTGTTTTTGACCATTTTAAGTTATCCTGCAATTCAGCAAACAGGGTTTCAGTTGGCTCATGGAATAAGCAGCAAATCTGAAAATACATAAGTTTATTATACCCAACACTAACTCATTTAAATGGTTACATTATTTGTTTATTATCAATATCTTAGCGCCCCCTCTCTCGTTACAGATGAAACATTGAAAAGCCAAGATAGAATTTTATCAAAGACGATTGAAATAATAGGATTTTAACTCGAAAACCACGTGCTCCTTACCTTATCTGCTGTATGATCGTTCATCATTGCTGATATCTTAATATTGTTGTCATATCTAGGTGGATTTCCTACCCTCCCTCATATCTATGATGTCTGTAATAACATCTATGTCTATGACAGCCTGAAGGCTTTCCCTAAAAATGTGTTCGGAATAATAGGATAGATATACATCCTCGTCGTTTTTAACTTGTTGAGTGATGCCAAAATCATGCATCATCAAATCATGTTCTTTTACATTGGGTTTTCACCTATGACCATGTTAATAAATAAATCTTAAATAAGTCCTCATATACAATTGGATGTTGTATTCAAAGTGGGTTAACTGTCTATTCCTTTACAATAATGGAGTCGAGGCCACTATGCACTTAACCTTGCACACATTGTAGTGACGTTCTTTCCCTTGGGTGTATCCGTACCCACCGGTACCGACAGTAACCGTACGTTCAGGTCATGAGCAAAATAACTATTAACTAATTACGGACTGGTATTGGTGTATCTACCCTTGCAATGTGACGAGGTATGCATGAATCACTTATATCGCATAAAATGTATCCATTAAACGCCACCTTTACACTATAATTGTCGACGTTTTCTGTATCCAACTTCACCTAATTTACACTTGGTGTTCCAATGATAATTTGACGGTTATTTTTGCAGCATGCTATTTGATAACAATAATTTCCATTACATACATGTATGTAATATCAAGGTCACTGAACTCGGTGCACTTTCCTCTTAATATAACTTTGGCTGGATACTCCAAAACGCACAAAACTGCGATTTTATATAATGATCGGCCCTCATAGTATACCAGTCGTATACGTGAAGAAGGTATTAAGGACGTGGTAGAATCGCTGTTCTGTGTACACTGATTTTACCGTGTGTCCGAAATACTTCTAGATCTATAAGATCGGATTTTTAATGGAAACATCATATTGAAGATTTATCCCGTTAACTACAATCTCTGTCACATGCAATTTGTTCTTCCGGGTAACATATTTTCTTCCATAAAATGCCATGTTGTTGAAAGTAAGCATATTTTGTAGGCAGAACTAATTCGTAATCTCAAATAAGGCCACATGATCTCTTTCGTTTTTTTTTTTTTGCTTCACCACTCACAATAGCGCCACCACTCTGACTCTGAAGATGGTGTCACCTGTTTAACTCTTGTGTCTTATGCGTTCTAACACTATCGAATTTTATGTTATAACGACAAACCGTCAGGCACTCTCGTATAACGACAAACCGTCAGGCACTCTCGCAACCACTTTATATTAAAAGATAGGTTTACAACACTTGTCACCCTCTGGTTTTCTCATGATTTCGTACTTCCTCGTTACGCTGTCCTGTGTGGGGATGGTTACGTTCTCTATCAATTGTTTTTATTTCATTCTGTTGTTTCTTTGAACAACAAGTTCACTTTGTCAATGGCTTTCTTCACAGGGGTCAAAGATCTACGTTGACAAATTCATTTATAATTTTCTTGTCAGACATGACCTCAGCTTCATCTGTGCCATTTTCTCAAAAGAGCACTAAGTGAACATGGTGTGCATGTTTCTCCTGAAGAGCATTTCCTTGAGTTCCTCAATATCGTACCCAACAAAGGATTTAGACAGGGCGCGTGCAAGAGAGGGGTATTAGGCCATGTGTGTTACCTATGGTGTAGTTAGGTGTTGGGATAGTGTGGGCTATAATTGGATTTTCGATAACTGCCCTAGTGTGCCGCTCCATTTTTTGTTATTTACATTTATGTATTTATGTTTGTTTGTTTGTTTGTTAAACTCTTTTTCACTTAGACAGTTTTGGGCGTTCATCTGAGTAACCACTGCTCTTCTATGTACTCCTTTTCGATGACAAAATGTCAACTTGGTTTGTGTTTTCAATAATTGCCATGCTCTGCTGCAAAATGTGTTGAAGGTCATCTCAGATCCCACTTAAGTCGATTTGCTTTCACTTCAGTCCTTAAAGGTATTTTAACATAAACGTATCTACTCGAAACTCAAACATAACACATCCGTTTCTTCGATCACATGCGTAGTACCATATATCAACTGTTCGCAAGGACAACGCAGACAAGTAAATCACTTACCAAGTCGTTGTATGAACAGTCAACCTTGGGGCAGCTCTACTCTTTATTCATAATACAAATATATTCTTATCGTGTCAATTACCAAAACAGCAGGCATACTGACAGTTTGATGAATGGCCATAACATTTTAATGAAAATTAAAAAGGATTCATGTTAATTCCATCAAGACGCCTGAATATATGTATATATACATATATACTGCTAGGTTACACACGCTATCACTTTGTGTCAGGGTGTTGAGGTGGCGTGTCGGTACAGTTAATCATCATGATGTATGCCGTTATCCTCTTACTGTCGTCATGGATTTCCCTTTCAGCAGCCATATTACCAGGTACGCTTTAATCAACACTTTTCAGCATGAATTCCTAATTTATTTATAGTTATTTTTAATAACCATTAATTCTAGTTTTGAATTAATACCAGGTTCGTCTTTAGTTGAGCTCTAACGAAATTTAACGAAAATGTAGATATAATCTTTTGATTATACTAATTGATGTAATTATTGAACGTTCTGTCTTGATAAAACCTCACAAGATAGACATAATCTGATCTCATGTAAACAAGTCCTTACTAACTGTTAAACACTAGCACCACACGCATACCTATTAATATTGTGTATTTGTGTTTGATCTAGAATATTACATACCTATTAATATTGTGTAATTGTGTTTGATCTAGAATGTTACATACCTATTAATATTGTGTATTTGTGTTTGCTCTAGAATATTACATACCTATTAATATTGTGTATTTGTGTTTGATACAGAATATTACATACCTATTAATATTGCTTGATCTAGAGTATCACATACGTATTGATATAGTGTATTTGAGTTTGATCTAGAGTATCACATACGTATTGATATAGTGTATTGGAGTTTGATCTAGAGTATCACATACCTATTAATACTGTGTATTTGTGTTTGATCCATAATATTACATAACTATTAATATTGTGTTTTTGTGTTTGATCTAGAGTATCACATACCTATTAATATTGCTTGATCTAGAGTATCACATATCTATTAATATTGCTTGATCTAGAGTATCACATACTTATTGATATAGTGTATTTGTGTTGGATGTAAACTGTATTAAATATGACACGCACTTTTGCACGGTACTAGTACTGGACGTGGGCGTTTCTCTATCACTTTGTGTGGTTTGTTGACAGGGTTTATACAGAATCACATTGGTAAACGGCCGCAACAAGGTATATAACTTCTAATTCAATCTAACACTAATGCAGACTTAAAATCATATCAATGCAATCTTACAAACAATTCATATTTCAATTTAAAATCTGCTTGTCTTAAATTGTGTATTTTGCATACATTAAAGAACACATTATCCCAAAATATTTGGTTAAAGCTCTGACAGAATGTCTAGTTCCATACTATTTTAGCAATGTATTCAATTGACATGTACAACTCCAAAAGATACTATTGGGAAAAAATAAATCAACAGAATTGTATTTTACTTGCTTTAATCAATGTTATCCTACTTTTACAATTGGCATGATGTTGCCGGTAAGAAAAAAAACATTTTGATCACGTGCCATGTTGGATGTTCAATAGTTGCCATTTAACACCGCTTATGTTGATGTTGCATCCACTCCATTTTCCTCAGCTCGGGCACCGCACATGAAATAGTGACGCTTAGAATGAGAATTCAGTGTATAACGTTGGATTGATTTCTTTATTTCACGTATGTCCAGGCGTTGGAGTCACACTCCTTATCCGATGATATTAAATATTTGAAACATAGTAACGTTTATATATAGATTTTACTGAGATATATTCTATAAAGAATCTTTAAGAAGGAATATTGTGTTTGGAATAATATACTACTAATAATAACACTTATAGTTCGTCTACTATCTGTATTATAGAGTTGGGGATATAAGCAGTCCAGTAAACATTGACGTACACCTAGCCGAAATAATATTACGTATAATTCTTTGAAACAGCCAGGTATATCACCTATACTAGACTTATACAGTCAGGTACATTATTTATGATATATGTATACAGCCAGGTACATTATTTATGATATATGTATACAGCCAGGTACATTATTTATGATATATTTATACAGCCAGGTACATTATTTATGAAATATGTATACAGCCAGGTACATTATTTATGAAATATGTATACAGCTAGGTACATTATTTATGATATATGTATACAGCCAGGTACATTATTTATGATATATGTATACAGCCAGGTACATTATCTATACTAGATTTATACAGCAAGGTATAGTACCTTTAAAAGTTTTATACACTCAGATATATTATCTATAATAGGTTTATACAGTCAGTAAAATTATCACCTAATGACCCGAACAGAATAGAAAAAAATCCTCATTGAATACATTGATACAGTCGCATGTGATATCCAGAAGGTTTTATCTTTCCTAGTTGCCTTAATTTATAAAAGTAACAGATAGTTTTAATTCGGATATATACCAAGATTCTTTTTGTACAAAGACATTCTACTAGTGTCATGGTTCACAAGATTCCAACTTGCTCAGTAAACCCTTATAGAAGCGTCCGATACATAAAAAATAAATCAGATAATCGCGAACATTATAACGGATTTTTTATTCCGTGTGTGCCTGAGTTGAGAACGAACGGGGGTGGTTGTATTTGTAAACTATATGAGGACTGTCCCGATGTAACCATGCTAACCATTGTCTATAAAAGGGTCCGTGTTTCCCATGAAGAGTTTCCTACAGAGGGAACCAGTGACTCCACCACCATCAGGTAAGTGCCTTCTGTCATTGCCAGTGTCTTCACCTTACATTTTTGTAATATAAGACGATATAGTGGCAGGGGATATCCGTATACCTTTTGAATGCAACAAATCATAATTTTTACAGTAAGGTATATAACTTTGATACGTTAATAAGTCAGGTATATTCTCTTTAATACGTTCACACATAAATATAAACGCACACTCTGTGAATATAAAGGCACGTGTTAACCATTGTCTATATTGTAACCTGTCTATAAAAGGGTCTATCTTTGACGTGAAAAGTCACCAGACGCCAGCACCACCAAGTACAGGTAAGTTACACGAGGCGACAGTTGCCTCACGTGATCAAGCGAGTAATACAAGACGCAGAAGAGGCAATGGATTAACGTATATGTTTTGCACGACGCTTGCCATGTAGTGTAATAGACGGTCACTCATCTCTTTTACGATCTTCGTCTTAATTAGGTAACCTAGCTCGCCTCGACCACCAGTTTAACCTAGCTCGCCCTCGAACACAAGCATCACCCATGTCATTGTGCTGCTGGGAACTTCATATATATATTCGTCATGTTAATGAACTCTCTCACTGTCTAAACGCGCTTGGCAGAGTAAGAGGGTGGTTATTTTTTTACATGTCACCAATACAAATAATGAGCTAGATATTAAAAACTTTGCCTTAACAAGACATGTGTATTAACCTTGAATGACGAACATTACATTTTTAACGAAATTTAAATAAGACACTTCATAGAAATTATTATGCATGCATGGCGTATAAATTTATGAAAGACCTATTCTTTCATGTGACTTGTTAATGTCAGAGGAGTTTTTTTTTTAAATCGTCAATTTGATCATTAAATCAAATAACAACGACACACAGTCAATAATATTTTACAGCCTGCGTATATGTTCACACTAATGCATACAGTTTTAACAGTTTACATAGGGAGCTCGTTGTTAAAAAAGTAGATAATTTACGTTAATAACAGAAAAGTTGACGAGTACGGTAACATTACACAACAAGTTGAAGAGCACGGTAACATCACACAACAAGTTGACGAGAACAGTAACAACACGCAACAAGTTGACGAGATTGGTAACATCACACAACAAGTTGACGAGAACGGTAACATCACACAACAATTTGACGAGAACAGTAACATTACACAACGAGTTGACGAGAACAGTAACATCACACAACGAGTTGACGAGAACGGTAACATCACACAACAAGTTAACGAGAACGGTAACATCACACAACAAGTTGACGAGAACGGTAACATCACACAACAAGTTAACGAGAACGGTAACATCACACAACAAGTTGACGAGAACGGTAACATCACACAACGAGTTGACGAGAACAGTAACATCACCCAACGAGTTGACGAGAACAGTAACATCACACAACGAGTTGACGAGAACAGTAACATCACACAACGAGTTGACGAGCACGGTAACATCACATAACGAGTTGACGAGAACGGTAACATCACACAACAATTTGACGAGAACGGTAACATCACCCAACAAGTTGACGAGAACGGTAACATCACACAACGAGTTGACGAGAACGGTAACATCACATAACGAGTTGACGAGAACGGTAACATCAGACAACAATTTGACGAGAACGGTAACATCACACAACGAGTTGACGAGAACGGTAACATCACACAACAATTTGATGAGAACGGTAACATCACCCAACAAGTTGACGAGAACGGTAACATCACACAACGAATTGACGAGAACAGTAACATCACCCAACAAGTTGACGAGAACGGTAACATCACACAACAAGTTGACGAGAACAGTAACATCACAAAACGAGTTAACGAGAACAGTAACATCACACAACAAGTTGACGAGCACGGTAACATCACACAACGAGTTGACGAGAACAGTAACATCACCCAACAAGTTGACGAGAACAGTAACATCACACAACGAGTTGACGAGCACGGTAACATCACACAACGAGTTGACGGAACAGTAACATCACACAACAAAACGACGACAAGCACGGTTACATCTTTCTTTATAATTTAATCATACTTATTTACAAGGTTTGCTAATACAGACATTTAATAAACTTTGTAATTGTTATAACTAAACACAAGCAATTATAAATAATCTAAGAGTAGAAACTAAGCAGCATTTAACGTTGTATCGATTTTATTAGCAACAGGTAACACCAATGAATGTGTCAATTTTTTACTAGTTTGAACAAGTACTGTAACAAATTTGATAAAAAGTGTAGCTGGTAGTCATATTTAAGAAAAAAACAATTATTTCTGTACTTTCTTTTTTCAGTATTTTCCAGTTAATTTTGAAGTGTAGCAAAAAATAAAATATCAGCAACATATATCAGATGTTTTTATGTTTCCAGTTCCTTTATACCAAACGTTTACTTCATTTTTAAAATCATTTAAAATTATTTTTTGACATCTTTCATCTCTAACTCATTTATTCCTCACCAGAAGCACACAACTTCTGCCATTGATATCAATGGACTTTTAGAACAAAAATGGCAAAGTTATAATTTTGAATTAATAAAAATGTCGCTTTTGATTTTTGAGATTTTTTTCAATTAATGTGCTGATCATAAGGTTTTTATTTTGCCTATATAAATACTCATAATATGGCAAAAATGATAACAGATTTTGATTCCTCGTGCCCTGAGTTGAGAACGGACGGTATGTGGTTGTGTTTGTAAAATATATCAGGCCTGTCCCGATGTAAACATGCTAACCATTGTCTATACAAGGGTCTGTGTTTCCTATGAAGAGTTTCCTACAGAGGGAACAAGTGAATCAACCATCACAAGGTAAGTGTCTTCAGTCATTGCCAGTGTCTTCACCTTGCATTTATGTGATATGAGCCGATATAGTGGCAGGGGATATCCGTATACCTTTTGCATGCAACAAATAATTAATTGATATGGTCAGGTATTTAACTTTGATACGTTGATGAGTCAGGTATATAGCTTTAATACGTTAATAAGTATATTCTCTTTAATACGTTTACACGTGTATTTGTCCATTAACTATACTACAATAACTCCACTATTATTTACTTGATTGTTATCCTAGGTAGTAAATATAAACGCACACTCCGTGAATATGAAGGCACGTGCTAACCACTGTCTTTATTTTAACCTGTCTATGAAAGGATCTATCTTTGACGTGAAGAGTCGTCAATTGTTGGACTCTGTGACGCCACAACCACAAGGTACAGGTAAGTTACACGAGGTGACAGTTGCCTCACGTGATCAATCGAGTAATACAAGACGCAGACGAGGCAATGGACTCACGTATATATTTTACACGAAGCTTACAAAGAATTGTAATAGACGGTAACTCCTCTCTCACGATGTTCATCTTAATTAGGTCATCTCGCTCACCCTCGACCACTAGTGTCGCCCTTGTCATTCTGCTGCTGGGGACTTTATATATATTCGTCATGTCACTGTCTAAACGAGCTTCATCCAATCATATAGGCGGTTAATTGAAACACAAAGTTAAACGTGTTGAACTTTGCCTTGACAAAACATGTTCATTAACATTTTACAGTTCGAATGACGAAATTCAAATAAGACACTTTTTCATGTGAATACACGGGAAAACGAATCTTTCATGAGACTAGATAATGCCAGAAGATGTAATTTTTTCAATTCGTCAATTGGAGAGAATTAAATCAACATACAAAAACACAGGGTTTCACATTTACTGCTTACTTCAATGTTCACAGTATTGCGTACAGTTTTAACAGGTTAACTATGCAGTGTCAAACCGACTTAGATGTTCATCAAGCCGATAATTTACCTTAATCGTCACTGAAATACAGGGCGATGGTTGTATATAAAATGTTACTAACATTACTGATGTATCCCTTATAACAGTGTTATACAGACACTAGGTAATTGTTCTCTGATATGATAGAATACATTGCATGTGCATTGTTATACAAACAATAATCATAATGAGCATTGTTTTTACATTTGTCAAAAACTAGCATTCCATTTAGACCAAGCGGTTACTTTATTTTTAAAACCATTTTGACATAGTTTTTGACATTTTTCGTCTCTAACTCACCCCTTTCTAAACAAAGTCAAACAATTTTTGCCATTGACTTTTAGGAGTCTTTAGAACACGAAGTGCAAATCCATTAACATGGTTTAATCAAAATATCGGTTCGATGTTTTTCTAGAAATCAGTGATTTATCGAGGTGTTGGAAAATCATCAAAACATATTTTAGAAACCTCCCCTTTCCCCCATTTAAACTCAAGTCAATTCAGGTTAAATTCACATGAACATCATTTTTAGGTCATATGACCTGAAATTGAAATGAAAGTATCACTTGTAACAACATGTAGTTTTTTCATTTAAAATCAACTTAAAACTGACCAGAAATAAAGATAAAACATTTTCTTGAGAAAATTTGACTAAATATTGTGGTCAAATTTAGATCTATTTCGTGTCAATTACATGGCAGTTGTGAACAACCGTGACATTTTATAAAGACGACACTGGTCGCGCGTTTCCAGGGTTCCGAAATCATATACCTCTGCACATCAAACTATATGTGATGTTCAGTTAGTTCTATCATGCAACCAGTCAAACTTAATTTTTCTGATTCACATAAAATACAAGGTAGGAAAGCGTTGATAAAAGATTAAATGTTTATGTCTAACATCAGAGAAAAGTATTTGTATCGCAGGCACGTAAGACACACGTATATATAAAAGGTGTAATTTCTCAGAATCTGGCATCTGCAATAAAATTAGCTAATTTCCGTGGTATTCACTGTATTGTATGTACATTATGCATAATATTAATTATCAAGGTTGACATTGTCCCTGTAATGTATGTAGATTAACTAACCCCATGTCCATATCCTACACTTTACACTTCCTGGCTAGTGTATGTCTGCCAGAGACGCATAATCTAGCTAACCTATAGTGGGCGCATGCGGAGCACACTAACAATACCAGTATTAGCAACTTAATGAGTCTCCTCTACTATAATGCATGCTAGTCAGTAGTAGATGGAGGCCAGAACGGCCCATCGGGTGCAGTATAACCGGCAATCTGTCAATACATACCTCCAAGGTGTTTCTTGTTCTAGTCAGTAGTAGATGGAGGCCAGAACGGCCCGTCGGGTGTAGTATAACCGGCAATCTGTCACGACATCCCTCCACCGTGTTTCTTGTTTTAGGCAGTAGTAGATGGAAGCCAGAACGGCCCATCGGGCGTAGTATAAACGGCAATCTGTCACTACATACCTCCACCGTGTTTCTTATTCTAGTCAGTAGTAGATGTAGGCCAGAACGGCCCATCGGGTGTAGTATAACCGGCAATCTGTCACTACATTCCTCCACCGTGTTTCTTATTCTAGTCAGAAGTAGATGTAGGCCAGAACGGCCCATCGGGTGTAGTATAAACGGCAATCTGTCACGACATACCTCCACCGTGGTTCTTATTCTAGGCAGTAGTAGATGGAAGCCAGTACGGCCCATCGGGTGCAGTATAACCGGCAATCTGTCACGACATACCTCCCCCGTGTTTCTTGTTTTAGGCAGTAGTAGATGGAAGCCAGAACGGCCCATCGGGCGTAGTATAAACGGCAATCTGTCACTACATACCTCCACCGTGTTTCTTATTGTAGTCAGTAGTAGATGGAAGCCAGAACGGCCCATCGGGTGTAGTATAACCGGCAATCTGTCACGACATCCCTCCACCGTGTTTCTTGTTTTAGGCAGTAATAGATGGAGGCCAGAACTGCCCATCGGGTGCAGTATAACCGGCAATCTGTCTCGACATACCTCCACCGTGTTTCTTGTTTTAGGCAGTAGTAGATGGAAGCCAGAACGGCCCATCGGGTGGAGTATAACCGGCAATCTGTCACGACATACCTCCCCCGTGTTTCTTGTTTTAGGCAGTAGTAGATGGAAGCCAGAACGGCCCATCGGGTGTAGTATAACCGGCAATCTGTCACGACATCCCTCCACCGTGTTTCTTGTTTTAGGCAGTAGTAGATGGAAGCCAGAACGGCCCATCGGGTGTAGTAAAACCGGCAATCTGTCACGACATACCTCCACCGTGTTTCTTGTTTTAGGCAGTAGTAGATGGAAGCCAGAACGGCCAATTGGGTGAAGTATAACCGGCAATCTGTCACTACATACCTCCACCGCGTTTCTTATTCTAGTCAGTAGTAGATGGAAGCCAGAACGGCCAATTGGGTGAAGTATAACCGGCAATCTGTCACTACATTCCTCCACCGTGTTTCTTATTCTAGTCAGTAGTAGATGTAGGCCAGAACGGCCCATCGGGTGTAGTATAACCGGCAATCTGTCATTACATACCTCCGCCGTGTTTCTTATTCTAGGCAGTAGTAGATGGAAGCCAGAACGGCCCATCGGATGTAGTATAACCGGCAATCTGTCACTACATACCTCCACAGTGTTTCGTATTCTAGTCAGTAGTAGATGGAGGCCACGAATAGAAATAATATGATAATGTGACTATTTCGGGGTTTATTTTTCTCATTGATTTGAATGCAGGAATAATTTCTCGTGGTTAACTCTTACTATAAATAATGTTCTTAAACCTCAATAACCAATTCAATGTTTGCATATTCTCATTTCTCCTGACTCATTTCTAAGTCTTCTTGGAGTCTAAAATAATGAGAACTGTATTCATACACTATGTAGCTGATTTAAGATTCAAGGAAGTATACTCGGTGTTGCAATTGGAATCGTTTCCCGAACACTGAACAACATGACAGTATAGGAATATCTGAGCTATGTACTAAATAGCTATGTGCACTTAAATAGAATGTATGGAGGTAGATTCACTATAGCGAAGTAAATGATGCAGGTTGTGTCACATCTTTATATTACCAACACTTTTTGCCAGAAACGCTTCTAAAAAGTTAGAGAAGCAACTTTACCAATAAGTTATTAGTACGATATTTAAAAATCACTCCGTTAATCGCTTTCTTGCTTTTAACATGTACTTTTTATATTTATAATAGATAATCAATTTCTTGTAAAAATATACACCAAGGTATTTTATAGTAGTCTATCATTGACAAAAGACACCGTCATGATATCAAAATGTTGTTGTCCTTTCCTTTGAAACTGTTTATTTTATCGATGTTAATTCTTTCGCATTTGAACAAACAAACATATTGACAATTCTGAAAAGTCTGTTCGCAGAGCATGAGGTAATATACAATTGATAACATTATTTTTCATTGTCCTGGAAATCTTCGATGTTTTTCAAAATAACATAAAATAGATATTTTTAAAAACATCCAATTTGACTAACTTTCACTAAAATAAAATGTTTTTAAAATACATGTTTGGTTAAGAAATAATTTCTCTAAAAAGAACTATGAGGCGTTTGTCTGTTGTCCAGGTCATTTCTTTTTCTTAAAATGTTGAAACCTACGGGTTGTTATTTTCCAAGTTTTTTAGTTTAAAAAGTTATTTTGGTAGCAAAGTTTTTTTTTATGATTTTTCAAGCTCCTACGCCATTGTTGTATTAATTTAAAGAATTAAAAATGGAAGCTTCATTTTAACCATTGAATGGGGATCTTCATAATAATATACTTTTAGACTCAACCACATGTTGTCTTGAACTAAGGTAACCAAAATTTAAGCTGAACAGGTTGTTCATTAATAGTCCAGAAGAATAAATGTTGCCGGCACCCGGCGTGATGTCTCTTTTTAAATCCTAAAACAGTTCTTTTGAATGTTGGATTTACATAAACTGTCATTACAACATATGTGAAATATTGTTCTCGTGAAACAGTCACCATGGTAAAATCTGCATTCATAATATGAAATTGTACATTGTTGACATCGAGCTACTGTTCATTAATTCAAATATATTTTATTGACACTGAATAGTTAAAGGGATTGGGCACAAGTTCTTACAACTTACTAGAACCTCTCGAGTTACTGTTAGCTAGGCAAAATACATGATAAGATGGTTTTTCAAATTTGGTAAAAACCTGAGGCTTTGCATAGGTGTTTTGCCAAATTTGAATATCCAGAGGGTGGAATTTCCCTATCCTACACCCTTGCGCATGAAAGAGTCTTATACTTTATTCTGCCTAGACCATGAACGTTTGGACTGGCCGCCATTTTGAAAATACAATTTTTTCCTCTGTGATTTTAGGACTAAAAAGAATCTTTTAGCCAGATTAAACATACCCCATATTTGCAAACACTGCTTGGGCAGAAAAAAAATCACATCTTTCTAGCGTATACGGTAGATATATTTTAAAAGGTTTTAATTTCACAACGTCGCCTTTTCCTTCCTCATTGCGCCATCGGAGATATCCGAATTCGTGACGTTACGTTATTGTTGAGCCATTGTGACGTCGCGTCACGTGAAATGGGATGTACGATAGAAATTTTGTACACCTCTTTCTTACCCTGGAAAGCTCTATCTTTCACAAAGGGAAATGAGAGAATAAGATTTGTTATTGCAAGTTGCTAGATAGTCACATTTCTATCGTAGTGAGACACATATAAAATGATATTAAGGAGATAAAGAAATGAATTTATAAACAATCGTTTAACAGTGAGACAAGATAAACTTTGCTAATGGACTGTTATTGAACACGAATTCGAAATAAAACCCAAACCAACACCAGCAAGATTATCTTAGAATTCAATGTCATACAAGTTCGTGCAAAATTTCTGTTGTTTATGTAAAACGAGAGAATTGTTAAGTGATGAGATACAGGAACTGTCAGTTTTAACAGCGTTTTCTTTAGGCAGCATTAATTGTTCATATCGTCAAGAACTAATTAAATGGCTCGTTGTCATCTTTATTACTTCTAAGTGTATACCTATAAGGTGTAAGTCTAATAAACAGATAAAGGACATATATCACAGACATTATTTTACAATACCTATTTTACGTACATTGTACAACAATACATACATCACTTTCATTATATATCAATGTACACATCACTTACATTGTAAGTCAATACATATATCACTTACATTGTATATCAATGTACACATCACTCACATTGTATATCAATGTACACATCACTCACATTGTAAGTCGATGTACACGTCACTTACATTGTATATCAATGTACACATCACTTACATTGTATATCAAAGTACACATCACTTACATTGTAAGTCAATGTACACATCACTTACATTGTATATCAATGTACATATCACTTACATTGTAAGTGATATGTGTATTGACTTACAATGTAAGTGATGTGTACATCACTTACATTGTATATCAATGTAAACATCACTTACATTGTAAGTCAATGTACACATCACTTACATTGTAAGTCAATACACATATCACTTACATTGTATATCAATATACACATCACTTACATTGTATATCAATGTACACATCACTTACATTTTAAGTCAATTGACACACCACTTACATTGTACAACAATAGATACATCACTTACATTATATATCAATGTACATATCACTTACATTGTAAGTCAATACATATATCACTTACATTGTATATCAATGTAAGTGATATATGTATTGACTTACAATGTAAGTGATATATACATTGATATATAATGTAAGTGATGTTTACATTGATATGCAATGTAAGTGATGTGTATATTGATATACAATGTAAGTGATGTTTGCATTGATATACAATGTAAGTGGTGTGTACATTGACTTACAATGTAAGTGATATATACATTGATATATAATGTAAGTGAGGTATCTATTGTTGTACAATGTAAGTGGTGTGTCAATTGACTTAAAATGTAAGTGATGTGTACATTGATATACATTGTAAGTGATATATGTATTGACTTACAATGTAAGTGATATGTACATTAATATACAATGTAAGTGATGTGGATATTGATATACAATGTAAGTGATGTTTACATTGATATGCAATGTAAGTGATGTGTACATTTATATACAATGTAAGTGATATATGTATTGAATTACAATGTAAGTGATGTGTACATTGATATACAATGTGAGTGATGTATGTATTGTTGTACATATCACTTACATAGTACAACAATACATACATCACTCACATTGTATATCAATATACACATCACTTACATTGTAATTCAATACATATATCACTTACAATGTATATCAATGTACACATCACTTACATTGTATATCAATGTACATATCACTTACATTGTATATCAATGTACACACCACTTACATTGAATATCAATGTATACATAACGTACATTTTATTTCAATACATATATCACTTAAACGATGTACATGTATCAATAAATAGATCAGGTACATCATATGTCAATATCTACATCAGTTGGATTACATGTTAAAATAATCACCAGGTTCTTTGCACAATAAACACACATATCGTTCATTGTACAACATAACATTCACCAGGTACAGTATACATTAATGCATACACAAAATGCTTACAATATATCCAACAATGAATGTATCATGTACTTTAATCAGGCACATCATGCAGCAATTTATGTATGCATCACATGCATTAATTATACAGTTCTTTCTTTAACCTGCATACATAACACATTTTAAACTGCCAAACCCATGACACACATGCTAATTTGAAAACACACGATGCAAAAAAAGAGTACATTACACATGCAAGTACTGCATAATCATCAGTAAGATTCACAGATAAGGAGGCTAAAGGACATTTGACATTGGTGGTGTTGAAGTAGTCACGCTCCAGGTTTATGTGAATAATCGTGGTAGGTAATTATTTCCTTAGTTTCTATGATATACACGAGAGAAATCAGTCCTACAACCTCGTTTTGATTACATTTGGTCGTTGCTACATTGCAGCGTTTGGGAGCTTTACAGCAGTAACACACCGTTTAACTATAGGAACATTTGTTAGGTGACTCATTTCACACAGAATTATAAAACTACTATAGGAACATTTGTTAGGTGACTCACTTCACACAGACTCACTTCACACAGAATTATAAAACTACTATAGGAACATTTATTAGGTGACTCACTTCACACAGAATTATAAAACTACCACAGGAACATTTATTAGGTGACTCCCTTCATAGAGAATTATAAAACTACTATAGGAACATTTATTAGGTGACTCACCTCACACAAAATTATAAAACTACTATAGGAATATTTATTAGGTTACTCACCTCACATAGAATTATAAAACTACTATAGGAACATTTATTAGGTGACTCCCTTCATAGGGAATTATAAAACTACTATAGGAACATTCATTAGGTGACTCACTTCACACATAATTATAAAACTACTATAGGAACATTTGTTATGTGACTCATTTCACACATAATTATACAACTGCTATAGGAACATTTATTAGGTTACTCACTTCACACAGAATTATAAAACTACCACAGGAACATTTATTAGGTGACTCCCTTCATAGAGAATTATAAAACTACTATAGGAACATTTATTAGGTGATTCAGTTGACACAGAATTATAAAACTACTATAGGAACATTTGTTATATGACTCATTTCACACATAATTATAAAACTACTATAGGTACATTTATTAGGTTATTCTCGTTACACAGAATTATAAAACTACCATAGGAACATTTATTAGGTGACTCCCTTCATAGAGAATTATAAAACTACTAAAGGAATATTTATTAGGTGACTCACTCAACACAGAATAATAAAACTACTATAGGATCATTTATTAGGTGATTCAGTTGACACAGAATTATAAAACTACTATAGGAATATTTGTTAGGTGAGTCACCTCACATAGAATTATTAAACTACTATAGGAACATTTATTAGGTGACTCACTTCACACATAATTATAAAACTACTATAGGAACATTTATTAGGTGATTCAGTTGACACAGAATTATAAAACTACTATAGGTACATTTGTTATGTGACTCATTTCACACATAATTATAAAACTGCTATAGGAACATTTATTAGGTTACTCACTTCACACAGAATTATAAAACTGCCACAGGAAAATTTATTAGGTGACTCCCTTCATAGAGAATTATAAAACTACTATAGGAACATTTATTAGGTGAATCACTCCACACATAATTATAAAACTACTATAGGAACATTTATTAGGTGATTCAGTTGACACAGAATTATAAAACTACTATAGGAACATTTGTTATGTGACTCATTTCACACATAATTATAAAACTACTATAGGAACATTTATTAGGTTACTCTCTTTACACAGAATTATAAAACTACCATAGGAACATTTATTGGGTGACTCCCTTCATAGAGAATTATAAAACTACTATAGGAATATTTATTAGGTGACTCACTCCACACAGAATAATAAAACTACTATAGGAACATTTATTAGGTGATTCAGTTGACACAGAATTATAAAACTACTATAGGAATATTTGTTAGTTGACTCACCTCACATAGAATTATAAAACTACTATAGGAACATTTATTAGGTTATTCTCGTTACACAGAATTATAAAACTGCCACAGGAACATTTATTAGGGGATTCAGTTGACACAGAATTATAAAACTACTATAGGAACATTTATTATGTGACTCATTTCACACATAATTATAAAACTGCTATAGGAACATTTATTAGGTTACTCACTTCACACCGAATTATAAAACTGCCACAGGAACATTTATTAGGTGACTCACTTCACACAGAATTATAAAACTACTATAGGAACATTAAATAGGTGATTCAGTTGACACAGAATTTTAAAACTACTATAGGAACATTTATCAGGTGACTCACTTCACACAGAGAATTATAAAACTACTATAGGAACATTTATTAGGAGACTCACTTCACACAGAATTATAAAACTACTATAGGAACATTTATCAGGTGACTCACTCCACACAGAGAATTATAAAACTACATAGGAACATTTATCAGGGGACTCACTTCACACAGATAAGTATAAAACTACTAAAGGAACATTTTATAGGTGATTCACTCCACACAGAGATTTAGAAAACTGCTATAGGAACATTTATTAGGAGACTCACTTCACACAGAGAATTATAAAACTACTAAAGGAACATTTATCAATCGACTCACGTCACACAGAGAATTATAAAACTACCATAGGAACATTTATCAGGTGACTCACGTCACACAGAGAATTATAAAACTACTATAGGAACATTTATTAGGTGACTCACTTCACACAGAATTATAAAACTACTAAAGGAACATTTTATAGGTGATTCACTCCACACAGAGATTTAGAAAACTGCTATAGGAACATTTATTAGGTGATTCAGTTGACACAGAATTATAAAACTACTATAGGAACATTTATTAGGTGATTCACTCCACGCAGAGAATTATAAAACTGCTATAGGAACATTTGTTATGTGACTCACTTCACACATAATTATAAAACTACTATAGGAGTATTTATTAGGTGATTCAGTTGACACAGAATTATAAAACTACTATAGGAACATTTATTAGGTGATTCACTCCACGCAGAGAATTAGAAAACTACTATGATAACATTAACAATGCATTTAACTTCACACAGGTCTGAAAAACTACTATATTAACCTTAATTAGAAAAAAAAACTTCAAGCAGATTTAGAAAACTACTATAGAAACTTCAATGGAGGATTTACTATACACAGATTTGCAAAACTTAAGTAGAAACATTCATTAAGCGATTCACTACACACAGGTTTAGAAAACTGATGCATTTTTGAAGAAATATCTTTTTTATTACCACGTTTTCTTTCTCCCTATCCCACACTATGTAAACAGTGATGAAATACATCAAAAGAGAACCTACTTGGATATCACCGGTTATATGTAACCAATGAGGTAATACGTATGTCCTTTAATTGACAATCAACCACAGTTTAATTATTATTGCAAACTCATGCATCATTTTGGCATATGCGACTTCGAGAAATTGGAAAGAACTAAATTATTGCTATTTTATCGTGGAATAAATTGATTAAGTATCATCTTAACATTACATGGATTAAGTGTTATCGTAGAATTTATTTGATTAAGTGTTATCGTGACATAACATTGCTGTATTGTGGCATTACTTTGATTATGTTTTATCGTAAAATAACATTGGTTAAGTTTAATCGTAAAATTCATTTTAATTAATTGTTATTGTAGCATAATATTGTTTAAGAATTATCGTAACTTATTAGCGTTATTGTAAAATTATTATGATTTTTCGTTTTGTAACATTACAATAATTTGATATTACGATTGATTTGTTGTTATCTCAATAAAACTATAATTGGTGTTAACGGAACATTACTTTGGTTCGATCTTATGACATTTTATTTGTGCGTTGTTTTGTAACATGACAATGGTTTTGTGTTATCGTAACATAACTCCGACTTGTTGTTATAAACATAATATTGCTTTTGTTGTTATGGTGACAATGTTATCATCAAATATAATGATTTCTTGTAGCATTACAATGCATTAAAGTTATCATCGTTTTTCATGAACTTTGTTAATTTGTAACATTATCATGAATTGATATTATCATTCCATTGCGGAAATTTCTGTTATGTTCACTAAAAGAATTATAGCCTTGTCAATGTGCATATATTGATTATTTGATTTAAATTTGATTTTGTTTTATGACTGTAATTGTACAATAGGTATTGCATTTAAGTATTTGATATATGTTATCAACGCGTCTATTATACGATTTTGAGAATTTAAAGATTAGTTACAAAATGAGCTTATACAAAGGAATATATTCTATGTTTTATAATTTCAAATGAAATACGATGGAAGTAACCTGTGAAAGTGATTCATAAATGATGTTTTCAATGATATTGTTCACACAATCAAGAAACAATCAAAGATCCTTTCAATTATAAAAAATAACATATATTTAGTAAATGTTAGTAACTCATATACTATGTTTTTGTTTCCGGTTGATGTTTCCTCACAGGGATACTTGGTAACATCGGATTAGCGCCAAAGCCAGCAAGTAAGTAATATTACATGTATAATGACGAGAAAGTATTCTAATATGTAATATAACAAGCAAGTAATATAACAAGTAATATAACAAATAAGTAATATAATATGAAATATATCAAGTAAGTAATATAACACGTACTATAACAAGTAGTATAACACGTACTATAACAAGTAGTATAAGACGTACTATAACAAGTAAATAATGTATCAGGGAATATAATTAGTGTGTAATATAACAAATAAATAATATAACGGAAACTATAACAAGTAAATAATATAACACGTAAGATAACAAGTCAGTTAAATAACACATAGTATAATAATCAATATAACATGCAATTTAACAAGTTAACAATATTAAATATAACAATTAAGTAATATAACAAGCAAGAAATACAACACGTAATACAACGTGTAATAAGACGTTATTTGATTTTGTTATAATTTTATTCATAATTGCAGGTCCAGATACTTCAACTTTATTTAACGTTATGTTCTTAATAACAACCAAAAATAAACATTATCTTTCTATAAAACCAGTAGTAAATTTAATGTGTTTAGATAAATACAATATATCATATTTCAACATAACAATCAATAGTCAATACATTTCTAGATACAGCGTGTTTGTATTTACCAATCAACAGTAAATATAAAGTCGTTAATAGGGAACAACAGTGACGTTGACGAATTGTTATAACCCCAAAACCTCAACCTGATAAGAATAACACCAAATACTAACGTAAAATTTCCTCAAAAACTTGTGCCCACCAATTCTGTCAATGATAAACCGATACCCCCTTAATGGTTGACTTAGTTTACCACACGTCCGTGCTGACATTAGAATGGAAACAAGTTGTCATATTGTTAACATTTACTCAGGTATTGAAGCATCGTCAGTGGTAGCTAGCTTTCTGATCTCATCTGAAAAATATTACTTCCATAAATTCATTGTTCAATATAAGTCTGCGGAGACAGTATATATGTATTTTGTGGTACATATGTCTACATAGGCGATAAACCTGTGTTTAAAGACATTTTATAGCATAAGGCGTGTGATTCTTGTCGCCAGAAGTTCAGGTTGATTTCTCAGTGAAGATGAGAGTTGTTTTACATGATTTCCTGTCACGACTGATTCTGTTATTACCATAGATGTAATTAACTGACACATTTGCTATTTTGGCGGAATGGAAATAAACTTACTAGTTATTATGCAAGCTTTCAGACAATTACAAATTCCACCTTGACATCTATTGCCCTGATAAGTACCAACATTAGATCTGCTGGAATAGTCAGTCCATCTAAGGGGGTCTTAAATGTGATAATGATTATATAGCCATATTCATGACGTTATTCATAATTATAGCATCCATCATTTGATAGGCGGACAAATAAAACACATTTTGATAACCTGTAACAATTGACTTGTTCACCTGGTTTTGTCCCGGAGGATGTCAAAGAAATGGACATGAAGTAATGTTTTTGTGAATATATGCACATAATTTGTTTTCATTTATCCCATAGTTAATACTTACCAGCTGCTAACGTTTAGGTCCGTTCAACACCATCATTTGAAAGCTGTTTAATAAATACAATTTCTATATTGTGTATATGACTGGCATGTAACACCAACCAAATCTAGTTCTGTTACGGAAATCCTTCTGTATACGTCACTGTTGTATGATGATAAGGGTAAGCTTGCAGGATCTCCCTGATACAATACAGGTTTCTCGGGACACGTCCACCGCTATAGGTCATGTAATATGAAAATGATACTTGATGACTAGTACATACATTATAAATAAATAAATAATTGTATAAGCTTCTGATTGAATATGATCTTCATGGTGTCCAACCTTTTCATGACAGTAACTCAGCCGCCACCGTCAGGTAGACAGGAGAAACAAGTGGGTGACTGGTTCCTTGTGTTTAGGGCTCGAGCAGGGAACACCCGTTCCGTGGTGTTTTCGTACATTCACCCATTTGGTACCAACGAAGACAACGCTCTCCCTGGATGTTTATCAACTAGTCCTTCCGCTAAGTGTAACGGTAACTACCGCCACAGCACCATTGATAAGTGGAGGTCAATCGGCGTTAAGAGGGTACGTCCTAACAGTTGTTGCGCGTGCGATAGAGAAATTTAATAATTTATTTAGGCAGCAAGAACTTGTTTAAAGTAAATCCAATTCTATCAATTTTATATCTATAAAACAATAAATATTAACATTCTGATATGCTTGAAAATATTTAATGATATTAATGGCGCCTATTCTTTTTTCAAGAGATTTTCAGACGAAAAAATGTATATACATTTATTTGTATGAAGTTTAACCTTATGCATATTATACAATATAATTCATGTTAGCTTTGTCCGGTATTTTTGGAGAAATGAATCCATATCTTTCTTGCCCCCTCCCTTCTTTCTTGTCATATATATTTGCATTCCCAAAAGGTATATTTGAGAAGCTCTAACATTGCGTGATATGTATTGAAATCTCATATTTATTGTCGAAGAGGACTTTAATAAGTTGGCAAAACTTGTGTCCGATTCGTTTGCAAAATCTGTTTAATTGCAATAAAATATGTTCAAATCAAATAATGAATCATAATTATATATTTAACCTTTTGTTTTCAATCGAACCGTTACCTGAAACTCGGTTATCTGTCTTATATGTATTCCTTAACTTCGGTTATCTGCCCTACCTGTTCTTCTTAACATCGGTGAACAGTCCGTCAGGAACATGTACTTAACTGTCCTACCTGTGCTTCTTAACTTCGGGAATTTTTCTTCCTGTACAACACACCTTCGATTAACTACTACCTGAACATCTTAACTTCGGGTATTTTCCTTCCTGTACAACACACCTTCGATTAGCTGCTACCTGTACTTCTTCACTTCGGGTATTTTTCCTCCTGTACAACACACCTACGATTAACTACTACCCGTACTTCTTAACTTCAGGTATTTTCCTTCCTCTACAACACACCTTCGGTTAACTACTCCCTGAACTTCTTAACTTCGGGGATTTTCCTTCCTGTACAAAACACCTTCGATTATCTACTACCTGTACTTCTTAACTTCGGGTATTTTTCTTCCTGTACAACACACCTTCGATTAACTACTACCTGAACTTCTTAACTTCGGGTATTTTCCTTCCTGTACAACACACCTTCGATTAACTACTACCTGTACTTCTTAACATCGGGTATTTTCCTTGTACAACACCCCTTCGATTAACTACTACCTGAACTTCTTAACTTCGGGAATTTTTCTTCCTGTACAACACTACTTCGATTAACTACTACCTGTACTTCTTAACATCGGGTATTTTCCTTGTACAACACACCTTCGATTAACTACTACCTGTACTTCTTAACTTCGGGTATTTTCCTTCCTGTACAACACACCTTCGATTAAATACTACCTGTACCACTTTACATCGATTATATGTCCTACTTGTATTAATTAACATCGGGTATCTGTCCTTCCTACACTAATCAACTTCAGTTACCGTGGGTTCTCTGTCTTACCGTTAATACTGAATGTTGGGTTATCTGTCCTGCATTCAATCTAATAATCTACTTATTGTGTCAAAAAGCACTCCACTGATGTTCATAATTTATTCTGTGTTTTTGTTCCGTATCATATTTTTACCTTTACAAATCTAGCCCATTGAGTTTATATGTTTAACGAGGTTTTATTATTCATAAAGGTGAAACTTGAATTATATAAGGGCACCACCCCAGTTGCCTTTATCATATTCAATGGAACCAACACCCAGTCGACGAGTTGGTTTGACAGGAAAAAGATATTGTCATCTTCCTGGACGGACATTAAGAGAAGGGGTGCTACCGACTTGAATTTCTTTGGTCGCAAGTAAGTATTTAAAGAAGGGTTTATCTCATTCACCTATGTCGTAAACACTCAGTTCGTTCATGTCTGTGTGACATGGGAGCATACCCGTTGTTCTCTTATTTCAGTTTGGTTTATTTTGGTTTAACCTTGGAAGCTATGATTTCAATTTTGTAAACTAAGCTGTAGATTTTCACTATATATCACTCTGATCTAATGATGATAAGTATCGACAGACAGTAGCCGCCACCCATGTTATATTTTACCGTGTTCTGTCTGGCAGTCGACTATTCCGTCTTTGCGTATTGCAGAGTTATCTTCTCTTGGGAGCAGGTATTGATTGTTACGTCATTGGTCTGTGTGAGAAAATTATGTCGTTTTCTTAAAAATTGATGACGCTATTCTCACAAACAAGTGACGTAACAATCAATCCCTGCTCCCAAGAGAAGATAACTGCAATACGCAAAGACGGAATATAACAACAGGAGCAAAACAGGGTCCAATGAATGTTTAGGTTTACGTAGAAAAATCACTGCAGATTAGGTTAAATTATAACACAATTTGATTTTACAACACTAATGGAAAAATATTTAAAGAAACAAATTTTCTTAATTATGCTGATAATAGCGATGAACGTGTAACGGTACAATGTAGCTATCTGGATACTTTCCTATCTTTTGTACTTGTTGGTTGGTACAATGTAGCTATCTGGATACTTTCTTGTCTTGTGTACCTGTTGGTTGGTACAGTGTAGCTATCCTATTTATTATTTATTATGGTATGATACTATTCTCTTTGTTTGTTACTGGACACTACCCTCTTTATTATTTGTTGTTAGATATTTTCTTTTTTGATTGTTTTAGCTTTGGTTAGATACTATACTTTTTTTTTTATTATGCATCGTTGCCTTATATTCTCTGTTTTTGTGGTTGCTTACTTTCTCCTTTGTTTCTCATAGGATATTATCCTTTTGGTCTGTGTGTTCGTTTATGGTTTGAAACTATCCTCTCTGTGTTTAGATACTGTCCGCTTTGTTGGTGATAAATACTATCCCTTATTTTGGTGGTTATGATTGAATATCAGCTTTCGTGAATCTTTGTTGGTGATAAATATTATCCTTTATTAAGGTGGTTATGGTTGGATATCAGTTTCCGTGAATTTTTGTTTGTGATAAATACTTTCCTTTGTTTTGGTGGTAATGGTTGGATATCAGTTTTCGTGAATCTTTTGTTGTGATTGCATGTTATAATCCCCTTTTGTTCTATCCTCTTTGTGGTTGGAAACTATCATTCTTTTTTGTGTACTATCCTTTCTGCTTTTAGGTATCATCTATTTTATTTTCGTATTGTTGGACATTTTCCTAATTCAAAATGGTTTGGTACTATTTTCTTTGATAGTGTGTTTGGTTGTCGGATACTAGCTCTTTCTCTAATGTTAGATATTGAAAACTATGGTTGGTTTGTCATCTTTGCTATTTGTTGGAAACCATTCATTTGTAATTGTTTGGATTATTTTTTCTTTGTTATTGGTAGGATATTTCCCTCTATGCTATTGGTATGATACTATTCTCCTTGATATTCGTAGGATACAATATTATTTGTTATTGGTAGACTATTATCCTCTTTTTTATTGGTTTAACACTATCCTCTTTGTTATTGGTTGGATACTATCCTCTTTGTTATTGGATGGATACTATCCTCTTTGTTATTGGTTCGAAACTATCCTCTTTGTTATTGGTTCGATAATATCCTCTTTGTTATTGGTAGGATACTATGCTATTTTTTATTTGTAGGATACTATTCTCTTTGTTATTGGTAGGATACTATCCTATTTGTTATTTGTAGGATATATATTATTTGTTATTGGTAAAATATTATCCTCTTTGTTATTGGTTTGATACTATCCTCTTTGTTATTGGTAGGATACTATCCTCTTTGTTATTGGTAGGATACTATCCTCTTTGTTATTGGTAGGATACTATCCTCTTTGTTATTGGTAGGATACTATCCTCTTTGTTATTGGTAGGATACTATCCTCTTTGTTATTGGTAGGATACTATCCTCTTTGTTATTGGTAGGATACTATCCTCTTTGTTATTGGTAGGATACTATCCTCTTTGTTATTGGTAGGATACTATCCTCTTTGTTATTGGTAGGATACTATCCTCTTTGTTATTGGTAGGATACTATCCTCTTTGTTATTGGTAGGATACTATCCTCTTTGTTATTGGTAGGATACTATCCTCCTTGTTATTGGTAGGATACTATCCTCCTTGTTATTGGTAGGATACTATCCTCTTTGATATTGGTAGGATACTATCCTATTTGCTATTGGTAGAATACTATCCTCTTTGTTATTGGTAGGATACTATCCTCTTTGCTATTGGTAGAATACTATTCCACTATCACCCTGTTTTGTTATTGGTTGGATACAATCCTCTTTGTTATTGGTAGGATACTATCCTCTTTGTTCTTTGTAGGATACAATCCTCTTTGTTATTTGTAGGATACTATCCTCTTTGTTATTTGTAGGATACTATCCTCCTTGTTATTTGTAGGATACTATCCTCTTTGTTATTGGTAGGATACTATCCTCTTTGTTATTGGTAGGATACTATCCTCCTTGTTATTGGTAGGATACTATCCTCTTTGTTATTGGTAGGATACTATCCTCCTTGTTATTGGTAGGATACTATCCTCCTTGTTATTGGTAGGATACTATCCTCTTTGTTATTGGCAGGATACTATCCTCTTTGCTATTGGTAGAATACTATCCTACTATCACCCTGTTTTGTTATTGGTAGGATACTATCCTCTTTGCTATTGGTAGAATACTATCCTCTTTGTTATTGGTAGAATACTATCCTACTATCACCCTGTTTTGTTATTGGTAGGATACTATCCTCTTTGCTATTGGTAGAATACTATCCCACTATCAACCTGTTTTGATATTGGTTGGATACAATCCTCTTTGTTATTGGTAGAATACTATCCAACTATCAACCTGTTTTGATATTGGTTGGATAAAATCCTCTTTGTTATTTGTAGGATACAATCCCCTTTGTTATTGGTAGAATACTATCCTACTATCACCCTTTTTTTTTATTGGTAGGATACTATCCTCTTTGTTATTTGTAGGATATTATCCTCTTTGTTATTTGTAGGATACTATCCACTTTGCTATTGGTAGAATACTATCCCACTATCACCCTGTTTTGTTATTGGTATTATACTGTCCTCCTTATTGGTTTAATACAAATGTGTTTGTTAATGGCTGGATACTTTTCTGATCTTTCAATGCTCTCTTCCCCTTGTGTATTTATGAATTCTGCGTGAAATAATGATGCTAATATATTGAATGAATGAACAATTCATTTTTCGAAAATTGTTATTAACTTTTAACGGTGACGTCTGTTCAGTCATTCATTGAGCGATTTCCCAGAGAAAGCAAACTGTAATAATTGATTTATTAAATCATTCAGACTTTCTTACACAATTTTAATCAACATCCTACTTGCACTTGTCTTGCGTTACAAACTATACAATTTAAATTATTTTCATTCAAGAAATGACGGTGTGAATCGGCGTCTCATGATCAACAAGGCCACAAGTTCTTGTAAAGATGATGAGGGTTGGTTGATTGTTGTTGAGGACAATGGAGAATGCCCATATGATAAAAATGCAAAATACCCAATCTTCCTCTATTCCGACGGCTCTAGAGCTACCCTTTATGAGGACTGTAAGTATGATCACTGCTAACTATATAGAATTTTCGAAAGTGCACATATTAGTATACCGAATATAAGTATTGTGACCTACAACTATGTAAAATGTTAGTATGTAGACAGATTTCCGTATAGAAAGTTAGTTTGAAGACAAAAATACTATACCAAATGTTCATATATAGTCTGAAAATGTTAGTATGTAGACAAACTACCATTTATAATGTTAGTATCAAGACAGTTTACCATATAGAATGTTAGTATATAGACAGATTACCATATAGAATGTTAGTATATAGACAGACTACCATTAATAATGTTAGTATAAAGACAGATTACCATATAGAATGTTAGTATAAAGACATATTACCATATAGAATGCTAGTATGTAGACAGACTACCATTTATAATGTTAGTATAAAGACAGATTTCCATATAGGATGTTAGGATAAAGACAGATTACCATATAGAATGTTAGTATATAGACAGATTACCATATAGAATGTTAGTATAAAGACAGATTACCTTATAGAATGTTAGTATATAGACAGATTACCATATAGAATGTTAGTATAGAGACAGATTACAATATAGAATGTTAGTATGTAGACAGATTACCATATAGAATGTTAGTATAGAGACAGATTACAATATAGAATGTTAGTATGTAGACAGATTACCATATAGAATGATAGTATATAGACAGATTACAATATAGAATGTTAGTATGTAGACAGATTACCATATAGAATGTTAGTATGTAGACAGACTACCATATAGAATGTTAGTATATAGACAGATTACCATTATAATGTGAGTATATAGACAGATTACCATTAGAATGTTAGTATAAATACAAATTACCGCGTATAATGTTAGTATAAAGACAGATTACCATATAGAATGTTAGTATAAAGACAGATTACCATATATAATGTTAGTATGTAGACAGATTACCATCTAGAATGTAAGAATAAAGACAGATTACCATATAGAATGTAAGTATAAAGACAGATTACCATATTAAACAGATTACAATATAGAATGTTAGTATGTAGACTTACAACCATATAGAATGTCAGTATGTAGACTGACAACCATATAGAATGTTGGTATGTAGACAGATTACCATATAGAATGTTAGTATATAGACAGATTACCATTATAATGTGAGTATATAGACAGATTACCATTAGAATGTTAGTATAAAGACAGATTCCCTTACAGAATGTTAGTATATAGACAGATTACCATATAGAATGTTACCATATAGAATGTCAGTATGTAGACTGACAACCATATAGAATGTTATTATGTAGACAGATTACCATATAGAATGTTAGTATGTAGACAGATTACCATATAGAATGTTAGTATAAAGACAGATTACCATATTAAACAGATTACAATATAGAATGTTAGTATGTAGACTGACAACCATATAGAACGTTAGTATGTAGACAGATTACCATATAGAATGTTAATATGTAGACTGACAACCATATAGAATGTTAGTATGTAGACAGATTACCATCTAGAATGTTAGTATATAGACAGATTACCATATAGAATGTTAACATGTAGACTGACAACCATATAGAACGTTAGTATGTAGGCAGATTACCATATAGAATGTTAGTATAAAGACAGATTTCCATATAGAATGTTAGTATATAGAATATAGAACGTTAGTATGTAGGCAGATTACCATATAGAATGTTAGTATGTAGACTGACAACCATATAGGATGTTAGTATGTAGACAGATTGCCATATAGAATGTTAGTATGTAGACAGATTACCATATAGAATGTTAGTATATGGACAGATTACAATATAGAATGTTAGTATGTAGACTGACAACCATAAAGAATATTAGTATGTAGCCAGATTACAATATAGAATGTTAGTATGTAGACAGATTACCATATAGAATGTTAGTATCAAGACAGATTACCATATAGAATGTTAGTATGTAGACAGATTACCATATAGAATGTTAGTATGTAGACAGACTACCATTTATAATGTTAGTATAAAGACAGATTACCATATAGAATGTTAGTATTTAGACTTACAACCATAAAGAATATTACTATGTAGCCACATTACAATATAGAATGTTATTATAAAGACAGATTACCACATAGAATGTTTGTATAAAAACAGATTACCATATAGAATATTAGTATATAGACAGATAGTATAAAGACAGATTACCATTATAATGTTAGTTTATAGACAGATTACCATATGGAATGTTAGAATGAAGACAGATTACCATTACAATGTTAGTATGTAGACTTACAACAATATAGAATGTTAGAATATAGACAGATTACCATATAGAATGTTAGTATAAAGACAGATTACCACATAGAATGTTTGTATAAAAACAGATTACCATATAGAATGTTAGTATATAGACAGATTACCATTAGAGTGTGAGTATATAGACAGATTACCATTAGAATGTTAGTATAAATACAAATTACCACGTATAATGTTAGTATAAAGACAGATTACCATATAGAATGTTAGTATAAAGACAGATTACCATATATAATGTTAGTATAAAGACAAATTACCATATAGAATGTAAGTATAAAGACAGATTACCATATAGAATGTAAGTATAAAGACAGATTACCATATAGAATGTTAGTATGAAGACAGATTACCATTACAATGTTAGTATGTAGACAGATTACCACGTATAATGTTAGTATAAAGACAGATTACCATATATAATGTTAGTATAAAGACAGATTACCATATTGAATGTTAGTATAAAAACAGATTACCATATATAATGTTAGTATAAAGACAGATTACCATTAGAATGTTAGTATAAAGACAGATTCCCTTACAGAATGTTAGTATATAGACAGATTACCATATAGAATGTTAGTATGTAGACTTACAACCATATTGAATGTTAGTATGTAGACAGATTACCATATAGAATGTCAGTATGTAGACTGACAACCATATAGAATGTTGGTATGTAGACAGATTACCATATAGAATGTTAGTATGTAGACAGATTACCATATAGAATGTTAGTATATAGACAGATTACAATATAGAATGTTAGTATGTAGACTGACAACCATATAGAATGTTAGTATGTAGACTGACAACCATATAGAATGTTAGTATGTAGACAGATTACAATATAGAATGTTAGTATGTAGACAGATTACCATATATAATGTTAGTATGTAGACAGATTACCATATAGAATGTTAGTATGTAGACAGATTACCATTATAATGTTAGTATAAAGACTGACAACCATATAGAATGTTAGTATGTAGACAGATTACCATATAGAATGTTAGTATGTAGACAGATTACCATATAGAATGTTAGTATGTAGACAGATTACCATATAGAATGTTAGTATGTAGACAGATTACAATATAGAATGTTAGTATGTAGACTGACAACCATATAGAATGTTAGTATGTAGACAGATTACCATATAGAATGTTAGTATGTAGACAGATTACCATATAGAATGTTAGTATGTAGACAGATTACCATATAGAATGTTAGTATGTAGACTGACAACCATATAGAATGTTAGTATGTAGACAGATTACAATATAGAATGTTAGTATGTAGACAGATTACCATATAGAATGTTAGTATGTAGACAGATTACCATATAGAATGTTAGTATGTAGACAGATTACCATATAGAATGTTAGTATGTAGACAGATTACCATATAGAATGTTAGTATGTAGACAGATTACCATATAGAATGTTAGTATGTAGACAGATTACAATATAGAATGTTAGTATGTAGACTGACAACCATATAGAATGTTAGTATGTAGACAGATTACCATATAGAATGTTAGTATGTAGACAGATTACCATATAGAATGTTAGTATGTAGACAGATTACCATATAGAATGTTAGTATGTAGACAGATTACCATATAGAATGTTAGTATGTAGACAGATTACAATATAGAATGTTAGTATGTAGACAGATTACCATATAGAATGTTAGTATGTAGACAGATTACCATATAGAATGTTAGTATGTAGACAGATTACCATATAGAATGTTAGTATGTAGACAGATTACCATATAGAATGTTAGTATGTAGACAGATTACAATATAGAATGTTAGTATGTAGACAGATTACCATATAGAATGTTAGTATGTAGACAGATTACCATATAGAATGTTAGTATGTAGACAGATTACCATATAGAATGTTAGTATGTAGACAGATTACAATATAGAATGTTAGTATGTAGACAGATTACCATATATAATGTTAGTATGTAGACAGATTACCATATAGAATGTTAGTATGTAGACAGATTACAATACAGAATGTTAGTATATAGACAGATTACCATATAGAATGTTAGTATATAGACAGATTACAATATAGAATGTTAGTATATAGACAGACTACCATCTAGAATGTAAGTATGTAGACAGATTACAATATATAATGTTAGTATATAGACAGATTACCATCTAGAATGTTAGTATGTAGACAGATTACCATATATAATGTTAGTATGTAGACAGATGACCATATAGAATGTTAGTATTTAGACAGATTACCATATAGAATGTTAGTATGTAGACTGACAACCATATAGAATGTTAGTATGTAGACAGATTACCAT